AAAAAAAAAAACCCGTCCAAAAAAAAAAAAAAAAAAAAAAGGGAAAAAAAAAAAAAAAAAAAAAAAAAAAAAAAGACAAGTACTGCCTGTTTTCTCTCTTTTTGGGACTGTAGAAAAAAATCATGGAAGTAGAAGTAGAAGTGCTGTTGTTAGTGAGGAAGAAAGTGATGAGGGCAGGAAGACAAAGGAGGAGAACTGTGGCAATCACAGGAGTGCCTTCCATTCACATAAGAAAATAAGTCAGTAGTTAATTCAGTTACAACATACTAACAAAAATCCTTATAACCATGATTTTATCAGATACAAAGATGTTAGAAATTTTGGATGACCGTGGAACAAGTGTGAAATGTGACTCCTCCTTCATTTCACAAGGACTGCTACAGCGGTGCTCTTTTCATTGATTTGTGTATTGACTTTCCTAATCCATGGCAAGTTTATAGGGATTTTGATGTTACTTCTCTTTTTCCTTTTTTGTTAATTTTTATTGAATTTTTGTGAATTTCATACTTTATATTTTCATCATATTTAGATCCCCTCTTATATCTGTGCTCCTCATTAGCCCCCCACCAAATTTCTTTATTCTAATAGTTATATATTATTTCTTATTTTTACATTGTAGCCTAAGTGACTAAGAGACACTTTTCTGATAGGATAGCTTAGAAATCAACCAATAATTGACAAGAAGTTATACTTACACACGTAACCAGCAACTGCCCTGTCATTTGACCTTTTTTAGTTTGGGAAATGCCATAAAACTTCAGGGAGGTTAGAGACTTTCCCACTATTAGTAAGAGACTAATGGCTCACAGGATGCTCTCTGGTTTATCTGATTGGACAGAGCCATGAGTGGGACTTTTCCTGGCTGTCTGTATCTCCAAAAATCCCTGTTAAATTTCTGACCAGCTTGTTGTTGTTTTTGTTGTTGTTGTTGTTGTTGATTTACCAACTAGCTTCATCCAAAGACATATTGATTGTATCCCACTATAATGTCTCTATTCACCAGAGTCTTCTCTTACGGACTTTTCTAATCTGGAAAATCTCTCTCTTTCTACAGGGCAGCAGAAGTGAAATGTCACACAATGCATGGCCACCTAAGGTAAAATTTCTGAGCCATGAAATGGGACTAATGGAAGTAGACACTCTTTAGTTTAAGACTTGTAGAGAATTTCTTTAATAAATAAATATTTTTCAAAAAATTATTTTATGTGTATGAGTGTATTGCCTGCATGTATGTAAGTACACCCATGTCATGCATTGCCCACTGAGGACAGAAGAGGGCGTCGAATCCCCTGAAACTGGAGTTACAGATGGCTTTTAGCCACTCAGGTCTTCTTCAAGAGCAGCCAGTGCTCATAACCACTGAGCGATCTCTCCAGCCCCTTAATAAATGCTTTTTAGCTATAGGGTTTTTGGCCAGTTTCCAGAGACTATTAATTCTATTTATTTTATTCACTCTTATTGATGACCCTTTAGGGGGAAAAGATTACATCAGTTTTCTCATATAGCCATTCTTGAAATCCCAAATAAACAAAATAATTTTGAAATACAAATTATTCAACAATTTTTGGAAGTATTTACTTTGCAAAAGCTATTCTTGAATAGATTTTTTAAAACGTTTTATTATTTTTATTTTATGTATATGAGTATATTGCCTGCATGTATGTAAATGCATCCGTGTCGTGCAATGCTGTGGAGGTCTGAAGAAAGCGTCAGATCCCCAGGAACTGGAGTTACAGTTGTTAGTTGCCCTGTGGGTGCTGGGAATGGAACAGGATCATCTGCAAGAGCAACCAGTGCTCTTAACTGCTGAATTACCACTGCAGTCCGCCCTTGAGTAGATTTTTAAAATATCTGCAATCGTTGAAAAGTCATTCCGAGAGCCCAATTACTAGTGTCAGGTTTTAAAGGAATTCCCAACTCTGGAGATACATTGTATGAACATGAGGACCTCCGCCTGCTAGAAGCTGCCATCTTGCGGGCAGGACAGATGGTGGGAACAGGTTTGATAACCCGTCCTCACTAGCTGCTCTGAAAACTTCAAATGAAGGAGTGGTGACTGGTACAACTGAATAGCTAGTATTTTGCACAGATAAATATAAAATAAAGAACTCAGAGTATTGATGTGAAAATGCTGATTAAATACTGTTTATTTACTTTGCCCCTCCCTCTGTAGGACTTTGATATTTACCAAGCTTGCTGCCAGTAATTCACTGAAATTCAAAGTCAGGCTCATTACTGTCAAGGACAGGATTCCAAGAAGCAGCAGGATTACGATCACAGGATCGTTACACAAGTTGTGGTATCCAGCATGCTGCTCTTAGTCAATGTCATTCTAACCCTATGGATTTCCACTATTGGAGGGCAAGGTAAGTTGAAAATTGATTTGAGTATGTGGTTCTTAGATAAATGTGCTTATTTTTTGTGTATTTATAAGAAAATTTTAGTGAAAAAAATAGGTGAGATCATTTTGACTGAGTGATCCAAATTTATCTATTTCATGGAAATATTTTCTAACAATCAGCTACAGAGAAAATTTGTTAATATGAATTTTTTCTATTTTTTTTAAACTCCAATGTATTTACAGCACCCTCATTGGACAGAAATAGAATTTTTTTAATTAAAAAATGATAATGACAAAGTTGCCGATGTACATATTCAACCAAGACACTGACTGGGAAAAAAAAATCCCAACAGATTAGACACTCGAGATGTTGCATAATTTTATTTTCACAAATTAGATTTTTTAACTTGTTAAGTGTTATTATTATTACTCATGAAATGGCAGTGTTTTGAACAAAGCAATGGAGTGCATTCTTATTTTGTGTTTAAAACAGAAAAATGTCAATACATGGCTTCATTCTAATCCCTTCAATGAATGCAAAAAGTAAAAAGAGATCATGTCGCCTCTTTAGCTCTATAAGTCTTCCAATGTTTTTAAAGCTGCCCGTCATTTTTCATAGAGCCACGGCATCCAAGGAGCTGCAAACAAAGCCTTCAACAAAGAACTGTTACTTCTTTGGCTGAATACTGGAGTTTTGATCACTGTGATTTACTCTGTTTCCATAAAATCTTTATCTTGATATTTTGTTCTGTCCTAATGTTTGCATATAACTGAAGTGTTATTTGCATAGTATTTTGTTCTGATATGTGACAAAATAGAAATAAGAAAATTGTTTTTCTGCCCTTGCAAAAGTTGTGAAACATTATTTCAGTGACTTGAAGCTCGTTTTGTTATGCTGCCACCTGTCGCTCTGAGTCCTAATCACGAGTGCAGTCACCTACTAAGAGAAACGTACATCCTACCCAATGACAGGAAATGTTTAGTTACAACTTAGGACCCTATGTTCTCTAATGTTCTGTAGTCTCTGGAATGATCTAATAGTCATACTTTCAGTCTTAAATGAGTGAGTTTATTACCAAAGTGAAAGTATTTTACCAAAGTAAAAGGAAAAATAGCAGTAGATGATAGATTATTAGATGATAGATGATTATTGATAGATGATAGATGATAGATAGATAGATAGATAGATAGATAGATAGATAGATAGATAGATAGATAGATGATAGATAGATAGATGATGATAGATAGATGATATAGATAGATGATAGATGATGATGATAGATAGATGATAGGTAGGTTAGATAGATGATAGATGATAGATGATGATGATGATTGACAGACAGACAGACAGACAGACAGACAGATAGATAGATAGATAGATAGATAGATAGATAGATAGATAGATAGATAGATAGATGATAGATAGATAAATAGACAGACAATAGCAAAATATCGAATGAGGCCCTCAAAATATCCAGGAGAGACTAACTGGGGAAGCCCCTTTTGTGCAACCAGCTGGAGTTCCCCTTTGGGAGTCCTGAACAGAGTTGAGTGGCCCCTTGGTTGTGGATTCCAAGTAAAAGAGCAAATAGCAGCAGATAGAGATAACATCACCAAATCCTGCACTCCAAAGTTTAAGCAGAAACAGCCTGGGGAGATTGAGACAGTCAGCTGGAGTTTCCAATCGAAGGTTTTCACATGGCTAAACTTTCCAGTTGGTTTCTGCTAGATGTTATGAGTGCTCAATTTGATGACAGTTATCTCTATCTGTTGCTATTTGTTTTTTCACTTGGAAACTTCCTTGGAGGGAACACTGCTCTGCCCAGGACTCTCAGTGGGGAACCCCAGCTGGCTGCTTTAACGGGATTCCTCAGTTGCTTTCTGCTGGATGTTTGTAAGACCCCAATTTGAACATATTACCTTCGTGTTTTTTTTGTTTTTAACTTGGAAGTCTGAACAGAGGGGACACTCTGGTCTGCCCAGAACTCTCTACTGGGAACTCCAATTGGCTGTCTTAAAAGGGCTTCTCCATTCAGCTTCACCCAGAATAATTTGATTTGAACAATTTGATAATATTTTCCTATCTAGCTAGCTCTTCCTATTTATTCTTTTACTTTGACTTGCTGTACACTTAATAAACGGATTCATTCAAAACCCAAAAATATGGCTGTCCTAGTTCACACTCCAGACTGTGCAGCACATGCGCTTGGCCTGAAGTAGGGTGTGGTTGTTCACAAACCTTTGTTGATGATCTGTGTACTTAAACACCTGTTAGAGACAGTGTTAAGAAGGGATTTCTAGACAGGAAAAATTGAATATAGGAAAATGAAAAATATGAAAATGATACATGGAATTTTGGATAAAAATGTTGAAGCTAATCCCATCTCCTGAAGAAGCTTCTGTGAATCTCTATCAAAAACTCCCTTAATGTCAAATACATATGGGCACTGACTTCTGTTTTGTTGCCTGTTAACAGATAGCCAGACAGCAAAAGCAACATGTTAAAGTAAAAATGTTATGTAAACAGAAAATTCTTAATGCTTTCAACAGAAAATATTTCTTATTACATTTCATTATGCACCAAGGCAGCTCCAAAGAAAATTAAAATGTAAGCAAACCACATTATGACATTGTATTCAAAAAACATAAAGCAAGACATAAACAGGCAAATAGGTTGCAAGACTGTGTGTGTGTGTGTGTGTGTGTGTGTGTGTGTGTGTGTACTTTACACTATATATATGGAGTTCCATCAGAACCTATAGATGAGGTGAATCATATTTTATTTTTGTAGTGGATAGTTTATAAAAGGAATATGAAAAGAGAGGTAAACATTCATAGCTAACAGCCTTGTTAATGTATAAAATCAATATTTGGTGAATGCTGTAAATGAATTTTGAAGAAAGGTTAGGGTACAGTTGGAGTATAGTAACAATGTTATTCAGAAATGAAAAGAATTAATATATATATATATATAAGTGCATGGAAATACAGTACTATCATTTGGCAACATGGTAAAGGATATCTGAAAAACAGTACAGCCAACATGCATGAAGTTTTTTCCCTAATATTTTCAAAAGTACCTAACATCAAATTTAAACAGGCTAGCAACTTCAGGTTTCCAGGGGCTAAATGCCACAATCATTAATAATTTCAAATCTCATGCAACATTGACCATCAACTCCTGATAAGTGGAAGAGGATTTCATTATTTGTGAGTTGTACTTCTACAAGATAATTTCAAAATACCTAGAATACACTATGGACTTTAGGCGAAGATTATCTTGATGATGAGGGAAGCTGTGCATGGGTGTAAGAGCTGTATATGAGAAGTATCTTTACCTTTGATTCAATTTTTATTTGAATTTGTCTAAGAGAATTTTTCTAAGAGATAAATCTAGTAATATATACATACAGAAATTCAAAAACTGGAGTAAAAAGATACAGCATTTTACTCATTTTCTAAATTGTTTTATTACATTTAATATTTTATCATGATGTGTGTAGATCACACAGACACATACGTCCATTCAGATTATGCTGGAAGAGTTGTGTCTATAGGTATGATGCTCACCAGGATTTAGCTGTAATTTTATTTTGGCTGGATTTTTCTAAGTAATTCTTAGTACCCTAATTATTTTCAATAAAACCACATTAACTGTGCGACCTCGCAGAATGATGCTAATAAATATTGTACAAATCTAACTACTCACCATATTTACTGTTTCCCCCAAACATAGACCAAATAGAGAATCCTGGTAGATAAGTCATGATTGTCAATAAAAGGAACCAAGAGAGGAAATGAATTGATAGCTAAGCAAAAACTTTTCATCCTGCCACTGTATACTGTGTAGACCAGTCACTGTTGCTGTGCTGACATTGAATGTCAGTTCTTAAATTGTTCTGTGAGGTTCTTTCTTTAAAATACTCTCAAAAACAATTTTTATATTAATACAACATAAAAGTTATATTTATTAACATTAACATCCTCAAATACTCATGTACTCTTTGTTAGTGTGCGATAATTGTAAAAATAGTGGATTTGTTTTAACATTTTCCTACATATTCATGAGATTCCTAAAGATCATTCCTCATTGCTGACCAATTGATAAACTAAAAGGCCCTTTAAAGAAGTGCATTTATGCTACATAAAATGAAAATTGTTATCAAAGAGATGAACAAAAGTATGATTAATGATTGACTAATATAGATTAACATTCAATTCTTATCTGTGTTTTATTGTTCCCAGAGAAAGTTTGTGATTTTCCAAAAATAAGCCACGGAATTCTATATGATGAAAAGAAATACAAACCTCTTTTCCCAGTTCCTAATGGGACATTTTTCTATTACTCCTGTGGATATAATTTTGTGTCTCCTTCAAATTCCTTTTGGACTCGTATAATATGCACAAAAACAGGGTGGACACCAACACCAAAATGTCTCAGTGAGTAAATTCCCCATCATTACTTGGACACTGAGTAAGGAAAAAGAGAAGAACCTCTAATAGGAGATTATGAGGACTTGATAGTCACGGGGTTGGGACTATAGACGGTGGAGGCACACAGTCCTTCTTTTAGGAGCTATCTGTTAAGAAAACCAAATAGAAAACAAATATTTCACGTGCTTATATTATCGGCAAGTGCTCTACGGGTGGAACATTCTGAATTTAAAATCTTATGATGAATATATTTGACTATTAACAGTTTTCTCCACATATTTATTTAGTAGCAACCTGGCCATGTGTTTTTAATTTTAAAAAGCCAGTTTACATATCCACTGTATTTGAATTATCATTTCTCTCAAATGTTCCATGGCAAGGTTTTATTACTTAATGTTCTTAGCATTATTACTTAGTGTTCTTCAAAAATTACTTCATTCTTACAATTGTTATCCATAATACATTGATATTCTGTCAAATATGTAGAGCAGATCCAGGTAATGACATGTATTAAAAAGAAAACAATAATAGACAGAATCCAGGAGCCAGAGAAGCAGATGGCAGGAGCCAGTCAGTCTCCTGTAGAAAACACTAGTGAGAAATAAAATAAAAATGCATGCATCAAGATTCTGTCTTATATTCAGAAGTTTATCAATGAAAAATATAACATTAAAGTAAGTTTTTCATCTGGAGAGATGGCTGAATGGATAAAATTATTGCCCTGTAAGCATGAAGTCCAGAGTTCAGACTCATAGAGAACACATAAGAAGCACAGCAGACACCTATAATTCCAGCACTTGGGAAGTAGAGGCAGAGGATCCTTGCGGGGAAGCTGGCTACCTGGACTAGCTGGAATTGGTGAGCTCTAAGTACAGCAAGAGACCCTTCCTCCCTTGGGAAGTGATTAAAGAAAACACCAGATGTCAACTTCAGTCCTCTGCATGCACATGCACACACACATGCCCACATGCATTTAAACATGTGCTCCACATACTCATGTACATGCAAAAATTGTATCATCTATGAAAACATGATCTAAATTTTTTGAAACTATTTTTATGGTTGGTTTAAATTTTTCCTTTCTTTTAAGAAGCCTTTAAGATACAATATAGCTTTTTAACTGTGTCCATCATTTGCATTAATCAATTTTTGTTTCTTAGGACTGTGCTTCTTTCCTTTTGTGGAAAATGGTCACTCTGTATTTTCAGGACAAACACTCCTGCAAGGTGATATTGTACAAATTGTTTGTAATAAAGGCTACAGCCTTCAAAATAACCAGAGCACCATCACATGTACTGAAGGGGGCTGGTCCACTCCCCCCAGATGCATCTCTACCAGTAAGTAAAGCTCTGTTCTCTCAGATCCTGCTACATTCTGTGATGTTTAAAAAACATTGTAAGAGCTAGGACTGGTTCATGAACACAGGGAAGCAGAGGCATTCAGGTCACTGGAAGCTTGCACATGTGAACTTGTCGCAGTGGTGGAATCAAACACAGGTCCCATGCCAGCTCAATTAAACAAGAGCCCAGAGGGGAGGAGAGAAATGGGTTGGGTGGGGGCAGCCCTAGACTGAGAACTATTGGAGACTGATTGCTACTTGGTGAGGGAGAGTATGCCATACATGCCATCTCTAGATGGGCTGACTAGGCTAGACTCCAGTGGACAAATTTACACTGAAGGACATCTGGGTACAAATGCTTGACTGGATAGGACTTAACATGTATGGTGGAATACATGAGGTCAGGTGGGGGGACGGATCCGGGGGAGGGGGTCTAAATTTGATTAAGAACTGTTGTATGAAATTACAAAGCTTGATTAAAAACTTAAAAAATAAATAAATAATCTGTCAGGGCTTCAATAAAAACTCTTCACACTTGCTTTTATTTTTAGCCATTTGACTTTTATTCCAATTGTGTCTAGGTGGATATGCAAGTAAGCCAATTTATATGTCTACTTAATTCAAATGGATGTAATACATAGAAATAACTATGATTATATTTTGAAGGCAGACTACTTATGTTAAAGTTACATCCATTATTGGATGTGCAATCAGATTAAATGAGTACTAGAAATAGTAATAGATAAGAGGTTACGAATTAGAGAGGGAGGAGGACCCCGGAGGAGTTGTAACGGGAAAGGAATGGAAATGATGTAACTAGAGTACTCATGGGTGAGATTCTCAAAAACAATTTACATTAATAAAAAAGAAACTATCAAAGTGAAAAAAATCTAAAGCAAGAATTCTAAACATGGTCTGTAATTGCACATTTTTGTTCCCAAAAGTATGTTGTGAAAATGCTAATGAAATCACCATTTCATTAAATTAATCATATGTGCATAGGCATTCTGGTGTTATTAACAATGTTACAAGTCACGTACTTTAGAAAATGTATCAATTTTTGTTAATGCTAGTGTCATGCAAACATGTATGTAATTTCACATTTAAGGTTTTATAGAAATCAGCAAAAGTAAGAGAAACCATGTTTCACAAAAATCTAATTCTTGTATTTAAGACAAGATCTCACTTATCTGTGTAGCCCAGCTTGGTTCTTCTTTCATAGCCCCAAGAGTGCTGCAATCACCATCCCCAGCTGCAGATGCACTTTCAAGGAACTCTTTGGAATGATTAACTCTTTTCAAATAGCACCATGATTTGTTTACAGTAATTATGCATCTTGAATTTTATTTTTCATGAGTAGCAAAGTTACCACAGCAAGTAATTAACAAAATTTAGCCTATATTCTGAAGTAAGTTCATGCATATAGATGCCTAAATAAATTGTGTCTAGCTCCTGAAGTTACATGGAAAAAGTATGCAAAACCTCATGCCAGCTCTTACATGATAATTAACAATTCTATTTTTATATACATGCATTTATGTATATAAAATATATAGTCATTTGATAAGTTCTAAGAAAGAAAAATCATGTTTACGAATCATCCTCATTTTACATGCCAGTGTTTCCAGGCTATAAAGCTATAGTGAGAGGAGGTATTGCACATTTGCTGTAATTTGCTATATCCTTACTAAGTAGGATAAACCAACATACTGATGCTTTTAATAATGGAAAAGGAGGAGTCCTGATGGATTATTTACTAATATGCATTGTGAATGCATATTAACAGAATTCAGTGGAGTATTTGAGCACATGCATACAGTACACGGTGGTCAATCAAATTAATTAGTATTTCCTTCTATCATTTCTTTTTTGTTATTGTTGCTTCCTCTGTATTTTTTTAGACAGGGTTTCACTATGTAACCATGACTGGCCTGGAACTTGCTGTGTAGACCAGGCTAGTCTCTAACTCATAGATATCTGCCTGCTTCTTCCTCCAAACACACTTGGCTTCTTGCTTTATGCTTAGACTTCTGGAGTCTTTCTTCTAGACTTTTACAAAGCATGTGATATATTATAAAATAATGCTTTATTGTGAACTATAATCAGCCTTTGTGCTGTAGGACACCAGGATTTCTGTCTTTTTGGTTCTTGTTTCTAACCTCTTTTTACCCCCATCAACCTGTAGTAATATCTATTCTAAATTCAAGTGGTATTTTTGTTGTTGTTTTTGTTTTTTTGACAATAGCTGTTCCCACTGGATAGGATGTCACAACCCTATAATTTTTATTTGCATTCTCTAATGGATTATCATGAAAAATTCTTGTTGGCCATTTGTACTTCTCTTGAGAAGTATTTATTAGATTATTTGTCCAAATTTTAATTAGAGTGCTTGAATTTTACTATTTTTAGTTCCTTGTATACTCTAGATCTTAGTGCCTTCAAATTTCCAGATAGTTAGATCTTTGGTTCATCTCAAATATATTTTGTTAGAGGGTGAGAGATTGGGACCCAGCTCAGTCTTCTGTATATAGATATACCCAGTTTTTCCAGCATCATTTATTGAAGAAATTGCCTTTTCTCCAGCATATGAATGTTGTTTGGTTTGGTTTGGTTTGGTTTTATGAGGTTTTAGGAGTTCTGTGTTCTTTTGGTACTTGATCAAGAATAAGTTGACTGTGGAAATATGGATTTATATTGAGAATATTTGGCATTGTAGAATTATATTATATTATATTGAGAATTTGGCATTGTATTTTATGCCAGTTCAAGATTTTTATGATTATGGCTCAGGGACAGGAATTGACATCAAATATTGAGAAACCTTCAGCTTTGCTCTTTTTAGTCAAGATTGGTTCAGATGGGGTGTGTGTGTGTGTGTGTGTGTGTGTTGTGTGTGTGTGTGCGCGCGTGCACACGTGCACATGCACACGCATGGACATGGTTGTGTGCTTCCATGTGAATATAGGATTGTCTGACTGTTTATAAGAACTCTCTTGGTATTTGAAAAAAGATGCATTCTCTAATATACATTCTTCTAGTATTTAAACTTGGGAAATGTCTTGAATTCCTTTTAGAGATGACCTGTAGTTTTCATCCAAGAGGTCTTGACCTTCTTGGTGAGATTAATTCCTAGATATTTTGTAGTTATTATGGATATGATTGCTTTTATAATTGCATTTTCAGCAAGTTCATTCTAAGTATATAAAATGATGCATATTTTTCTATGTTAGCTTTTAATCTTGCTACATTACTGAATTCATTTATATTCTAAAATGTTAATTTGATGTCCTTTTTTCCTATTTATAGCTTTTATTTCTGTATGTTACCTAGGGCTCTATTTAAGCCTAGATGTACTATATTAAACAAAAGTAACAGAAAGGACATAGCTTCCATGTCATAGATCTTAGCAGAAACAGTTTTTGCCTTTTGCCCATTCAGTATTTAGTGGTGGGTTTGTAGTTGTATAATTAGGTTTTGTTCTTCTATATTTTAGTTGTTCAGGATTTTATTTTTACTATAATGAAATGTTGAATATGTCAAGTGTTTTTTCTAATCTATTGAAATTTTCATGTAATTTTGCCCTTCATTTTCACTGTTTGATATGTTCATGACTTTCATACTCTGAACTATTAGTTACTTTCTGTGATGTTGGGAGAACATTCCTGACACAAACAACTTAAGGAAGGAAGGGTTTGTTTTGGCTTGCAGTTAAAGGTTACAGTCCATCGTGGTGGGGGAATCAAGGTACCAGGAGCTTGAGGAAATTAATCACATTCTACCTGCAGTCACAAAGCATAGAATGAAAACTATTAGCAGTCAGCTCACATTTTTTTCATTCATTCCAGGACCCTAGTTCAAGGGAATGTGGGGATGATAATATCCACAGTTAAGATGGCTCTTCCCACATGACCAACCTAATCTAGTCTCTCTCTCTCTCTCTCTCTCTCTCTCTCTCTCTCTCTCTCTCTCTCTCTCTCTCTCTCATGCCTAGAGGCTAATCTAATCTACATAATCACTCACAGATATGCCCAGAGGCTTGTCTCTTAGGTGATTCTAGATCCTAACAAATAGACAATATCAACCATCACAAACTTCTCTATAATCCTGGAGTAAATTTTACTTAATGATTTACAAATCTTTTTCTTGTTAAATTTATGCTAGAAGTATTTTAAGAATAATTTCATCTATTTACATCAAGGTTATTAGTCTAAGATTTCATTTTGTTGTTGTTTTTTGGGTTTGGGTATCAGGGTAATAATACTGTCTTCATTCAATGAAGACACTAAGGGTGTGCGCCACCACACTTGATTCAGCTGTTTTATTTTTAATGTCCTAAAAACGTACTACAAGGATTATACCAATTGAAGCGTCCTTGTCAGAGACCAAATTTTATCATATTAAAGAATTTATCTTCAATAAAGATATAAACAGACTGAGACCAAGTGTGGTGGTGCATGCCTTTAATCCCAACACTTGGGAGGCAGAGGCATGTGGATCTCTGTGAGTTTTACTATGGAGACCACATAGTGAGTTCCAGACCAGCCAGGACTTCATAATAAGACACTGTCAAAAAAATTTAATAAACAAATATTTATATTTTTATGTCTTTCAAGGAAAATGTTTAAAATCAGATATTGTAATTGACAATGGGTTTTTGTCTGAAGTGGAACACACTTATGCTTTTAATAAAGAAACACAATATAAGTGTAAGCCAGGATACATGACAGCAGATGGAAAGGCATCAGGCACAGTCAAATGTTTGCAAGATGGATGGTCTACTCAACCTATTTGTATCAGTAAGTAATTTAATATTTTCTTTACATAGCAACAGAAAGTTATTTTGTTATTATTTTGCTATTTGTAGGCTTATATGGTACTAAATAAAGTAAAAAAACTTATTTGAAACAAAATATGTTAATAAAATATGTTCATACACCTCTGTAAAGTGCTGTGCTTCTTCCTCTTCAAAGAGATGGTTTCTCCTCTTCAGTCTGCTTTCTTTCCTGGAAGAAGGGAGTAGCGGAAAGAAGAAGAGGAAGAGGAAAGAAGAGAGAGGAAAACTATAGAGTTTTAAATGTCTTTAACTGCACTTTTATGAATAAGAAATTTGCACAGTTCCTTTTTGCCACTTTAAAATTATCAGTGTTCTATAATTGGCTTCTGTTGTGATCTTGATAAAAAGTTGTATCTGTAATAAGCAGACCAGTTCCACAGTACAGAGTTCAGGACACCCCATTACTAAAAATTTAGTCTATAATTTGCTGTAGAGAATAAAGTAGTCTGGATATCATGATTTGTAAATACAGAAAAGATATAGCTGGGGTAGTAGGCTTTGGTTTTGGAAAAAGAAAGATTATCAGTTGGTGTCCGAATTTTATCCTCAAAGAAAAAATATTAGACACAATTTAATGTGAGAAAATTGTTTTCAAGGAATGGAAAGGAAAAAAAAACCTAACTTTACACATAGAATTTACAGTTAAACAGGAAGATTTCTTTTCCCTTTCATAATGAAGAATTCCTCCAATTTATGTTATACACTTGTCATCTCGGTGGTCAATACTGATTATCAACTTGACAGAATATGGAATCACCTAGCAGACAGGGATTTTCTAGATTGGATTCATTGAAGTTGGGAAGACCTACCTTAAAGGTGGACAACATTATTTTATGGACTGGGGCCTCAGAAAAGAGACGGTGAGCTGAGCACCAGCATTCATCTCTCTGCTTTCTGCCTGTGAACACAGTGTGACCAGCTGCTTCATGCTCCTGATGCCAGGATTTCCCTGCCATGCTGACTGTACCCTCAAAATGTGAGTCAAAATAAACCCTTCCTTCCTAAGTTGCTTTTGCCAGGCATTTTGTCATAGTAATGGTACAAGTAATTAAAACATGCAGTATTGCTTCCCAAAAGTAAAAGCCCACTTCTATTTTTACCTTTCAGTTTTTTCTTCTCATGGACTTTTAGTGAATAAGTACAGAATCTTTCTCAAAATACTATCAGTTTGCGAGTTTCTTAAAATCAAAAGAATACTTTTACTAAAATTATGATAACATCATAAGCTATAAAAGAGAAATTTGACTGATCTATGTAACAATCATTTTCAGAAAGCTTAACATATGAGATGAGACATGTATATGAAAATACATTTTTAATATTTTAGTAATTGTAACAGAATGCAAAACTATCATTGGATAGTACTATGGGTTCTTTAAATGTGCACTTAAGTAAAATGTGCCATATTTAAATACGTAAGTAATGTGGTGAAATGCAGTTAACCACAAAAACATGACTGATATTCACAGACATAAATTTAGGTTTAAAAATGTCACATCAGGACAGATGAGATGACTCGGTGGGTAAGAGCACTTGCTGTGCAAGTTTAAGGATCTGAATTTGAAAGACCAGCACCCACATAAAAAGGATGGACATGGCTGCATGTGTAACTCCAGCAGCATTGTGGGGTTGGACACAGATGAATCCCAGACATTTTCTGGCCAGTCAGCACAACAGAAACTGCAAGCTTCTGGCTCAGTGACAGTGACAGACCCTCTCTCAAGGGAATAAAATGAAGTGTGATGAAGAGAGACACCCAACCTTTTTCACTGGCCTTCACATCTGCACATACAAGCAGGTACTCCCACACTCATGTGCATGCACTACACACACACACACACACACACACACACACACGTCACATAACAAAATCAAGCCTAATTCTTCTGATTGATGTCAAGAGAAAGGAGCCAAGTGGAAGGATCACAGGAGGCTTGAAGAATGCTACAGCATGGGACTGGAGAGATGTTCATCAGTTAAGCACATTGGCTGCTCTTGCAGTGGACCCAAATTTGGTTCCCAGCACCCATACCACAGAGGATGAAAACCATTGGTAACTTCAATTGCTGGGGATCTGGTGCCCTCTTACAGCCTCCATGGGCACTGTACACATTTTTTTCATACGTACAAAAAAAAATGAATCAAAAACACTTTTAAGAAAGTGCCACAACATTTTAGTCTATCTTCATGGTGATAACTTATCAATCAATATACTTATGGTTTTACATGCTTCTAAATACATTTTTTACGTCAATAAGTTTATCACAACCTTATATTAGGAAACAATTCACCATCAGTGTTTTCACATTTAGGCAGAGTTTAGGCTTTGTAAATAAAGAGCACTAGTTATCTTGTCTAAAGGATAGCTAGACAGAAAACATGCTGTGATAGTAACTATGTCACTAAAAGAAACATCTGAAAGAATCAACTTAAAAGGAGGGTTCATTTTGGTCCATATTTCAGAGGTTTCAGCCCATGCTTGCTTCCCTGTCAAGCTGGGCTTGTGATGAGAAAGCACAACACTGGCAGGAGTGCTTGTTCATGGAGCTACTCCTCCTGCAGGAACAAAAGGAAAGGAAAGGGCCAGAGTCCCAGCAAGGGTAGGTCCAAGGATTAAGCTTCTTTCCACTAATCCCCACCTTCTAAAGGTTACTCCATCCCCCAGCAACTTCATTAGTTGATGACCACTTTAGCACATGCGCCTTTGGAGACATTTAAAATTCAGCGAAAAGCCAAAAAGAATTTTTTGTCCTCCCTTCTGAGGAAAAGATAGCCCAATGTGCCAGATGGTCTAGAAATGCTCTAAATCTTATAATATTTTTGTTTTTGTTGCATGTAAGTGGGTACACCTGTGTCATGCAATGCCCGCAGAAGTCAGAAAAGGGTGTTGGATCGCTGGAACTGGAATTATGGATGGTCATTAGCGGCCATGAGGGTGCTGGAAATTGAACCTGGTTCCTCTGCAAGAGTAAATGGTGCTCTTAACTGCTGAGCCATCTCTCTAGCCCCGTAATATTTTGGTTTTAGATTTTGAAACATGGTCTCATGAAGTATCCCTGGCTGGCCTAGAAACTACTATGTACACCAGGTTGTCCAGCTTCCAGAGATCTGCCTGCCTCAGCCTCCAGATTGCTGGGGCTAAAGATGTATTCCAGCACACACAGCTCAAATATTATAGTTTAAGAGTCTTTTCCTAGTTGAAAAACCAGTACAGAAGCAAAATAACCTTTCTCTTCTGCATCTGATGATTTGGGACCTGGCAAACTTGGGATTGGAAGCTAGGGAACTAGCCCCATGGCTCTCTGGTCTTGGATCTACAAAACTCATGCTTCCACATAGACCGATGTTAGATAGGTAGGTAGAGATGACAGAGACAGAGACATAAAGAAAGAATAGATATATAATAGATGGCAGATGATAGAAAGACTGGTATTGATGTCATTCTATAGTATATAAAATATTCCATATATAAAATACTCCGTAGATGACAGATATAACAATATTTAATACCTATATATTTATATACTATATTTATCATTTATTTACCATAGTTTATATGAGTTTATGTATGAAGAAGATATAGCATACAGTTACCCGAGCTAGTACAAGGAACAGAGCAGTTTTAGGACTGCAAAAGAGGTAACCTAAGAGTGGTCAAATTCAAAAGTTAGAACCTATGAGAATTACCATACAGGGAGACCCAGTCTCAAAATAATAAATAAATAAATAAATAAATAAATAAATAAATAAATAAATAAATAAATAAATAAATAAAATCAATAACAAAGTTTTTAAAAAGAATTTTGTTAGTTCATGATGATTAGTAAAGGCTTTTGTCTGCTTAAGTACTTGCAGTAGCAGTACAAATAAAATCCTGATTCTTGATATGTCTCAGAGTCTTGTGATATGCCAGTGTTAGTGAATGCCAGGCACAGAGGAAACCGCACGTGGTACAAGCTGAAGGAGAAGCTGGAGTATGAGTGTGAGGATGGGTATGACTTTGGAGGTGGGCACACCACAGGCTCCACAGAATGCGGTGAACATGGCTGGTCCCATTTGCCCATGTGCTATGGTAAGTACAATTTTCTTCTGGAAAAACAAAAATAATATGGAACATATTATTTCTGTTTTATGTGCTCTCTAGAGAGAAGTTTTCTAAAGAAAAATGTTCAAAATTTAACGTGTCTCCATACAGTTTTAATATACCAAAGTAATTAATATACCAAAATAATATGCCAATGTAATAATATCTATGAAAAAGACTTAATCAGTAAAAATAAGGTTGATTGTATGCCACATGTATCACATTCACAGATTAAAAATCAAAGCCTTTTTAAGGGTACCTTTTTTAATAACTTATTGAAAATTTCATACATGTATACAAGGTGTTTTGATCAAATCCATGCCCACTCCCTCCCCTCCAACTCCTCCAATATCTCCCCATCACTTTTTTGATAACTTCATGTACTCTTTATTCTTCTTTTTTTATGGGGCTTTTTGCTACTTTAACATTCTCCACTCTGAAGAGGTAGCCCTAAAATATTTTAAGGATTAGATAAAAGCTCCCAAATACTTTCGACGTTTTTGGCCTTTGGAACAGAGTATGTTGCTAAGACACCCAACGACATTGTGACTTTTAGCCAAGAAACTGGCTAGTTTGCTTTGGGGTCTTTTTACCCTAGCTGCATAGTGAATTCCTACCTCCTATTCTTATCACACCATCCTCCAAAGAGGTTACCCAACTTGCAGGTAAGGAATCGGGATGCAGACTGCTCTGGCTTCTTCCATGCTGAACAGGGATGCAGGGTGAGGCAACTGGGGTACCCCTTCAGTGGGTCTATCTAAAAGACTCCCAAATTGCATAACTTATCTGTAGGGAGAAAAGAAAGTCCTTGAATCATGAATAGGAGATTTGAAGGAGAAGTAAAGGCAAGAGTAATTAGCATTACAAGTTCTAGACAGGGAACTAGAAAAAAGTCAGAACAGGACAATTTTTAAATGATCATATGAGAGTCCAATGGAATTTCTTGACAAGGGCTGCTAAAAGCATTCCTCTATTGGCTTCCTCCTCATTTTTCTTTTGTCTTCCAAGGCTGGACTCTAGAGTGACGGATTCAGGATTTGCTTTCAGGCATTTTGATCGCTTTTGGAGTGGTTAGAATCAGTGTCAGTTCCCTCTCAAAGGCTTCTAGATATGGGGAGAAAACAAATTTATCCATCATTTTAGAACAATGGTTGTCTCCCTTAGCTACAGGTGGGCACTACAGTATTGGAGACCAAGATTTGAAGTCTTACATCTGAGCAGCACTTTCTGATTATGAATAAAATCATTAGTGAGAAATAATTGTCTAAATAACTTTTTATAT